AGGTGCCGAAGAAAGGATGACGGGTAAGCCAGTTACATAGGTTTTCTAGAAATATTACTGTCCTGCAGCCGAAAAGCCCGAACTGCAGTCAGGGAACCGACCCCCACATCTACAAAGCTCCAGAAGAACGGATTGCATTACCAATGAAGGACTCAATTCCACCTACGAACGAACCACATTTTTTATTCAGTTGTCAATTTGTCTTCCCGAATTCGACCGACTTCACAGTAACTGTCCGTCACTGACGTGCTCACTGCATGAGCGTTGTAAGAAAACGTATGACAGAGGGCTTGGAAGAACGAAAAAGAATATAAACGATAAAGTAGAGTGGATTAGACAAAAGTAGGGCTTACAGAAAAGTAAGTTTCGTGAGTAATACTCTATGCGCCACTCTCGCCGTTTCCCGAGAAGTTGAAAAATCCAATACCGACTTGATGCCCACTTAGCGGTAAAAACCAGTAACTTATCTCGAAAAATCTATATCGACTCGAAGTAATTATTTCTTACTTATGACCTCATCAGAACATAAATAATGACTAAATTCCGCCGATCGCAAAACAGTAAAGATAACAGTGGTCGTGGTGTTTGTTCGTGTGCGGCGATCAAAAATCACGGCTCTGACGGAGTGAATTAATTTTAGGAGATCTTAGAAGCAGTTAATGTTGAAGAAAACCATTGGTCAAGAAAGACCTTTGAGATATAAAAGTACGAGACAACCGTGAAAACAAATTATGAAGTATAAGTATGTCGTCAACTTTTCAGCCCCAAAAAGTGAATATTTGGCACCAGCAAGAATGCCTAATGCTTTCGGTGGAGGAGCAGTAACACATAACCATCAAGTAAAATGAATTACGAGATTATACGCAGCGCCAGCAATTCAGCACATATAAACAAAATGTGTTTCAGTCACCTAGCGGCGGACTCGTGGCACTCATACAGGGACCTTGGCGACCAGCTCTTTTCTGAATAGAAAATTTGGAAAAATGAACAATAAGAGAGGAGCCAAAGTGCTCAATTAACGTCAAAGAAATGGTGGACATGAGAATGGCAGCCAGTGAGAAGACAATCTACTATATTTTAAGACGAAAAGAGTAGATTGTTAAGATGTGCATTAAGACGAGAAATTAAAACAGAAATTTGGCGAACGAAGAAAAGCTGACGGGCCCTTAGAGAGCACAGATAAAAACGACGGAGAAGACATCAATAAAGCATGAGCATACCCACTGCAAACGTCAAGCAGGACTTGCGGACTTGAAGATAGCATTACAGGACCGACGCGCACCAAGTGCGGGGTTAGCGCGCGACACTGTCGTAGTGAAGTGCAACCTGCGGCCTAATTATGTGTATTAACATATCTAGGCTCGGGAAAAGCAAAAACTACGCTGACTCCAAGAGAAAATCGATGTCCATAAAATAATCCGCATGCGATGGCCAAACGACTCCCGCAGGTTGCCTACCCCAGCGTTTTACGGGATCTTGAGGAAACCTCTTCCACTGTTGAACTCGCACGCTCAATAAGTGCCGCCATTGTCTACGGAACGTCCTTGAAAATACCCAACACTACCACGTTGGGAAACTCCACTGCCACATCGTCTATTCCTCTAGCGATTGTATATACTTCAACCAGTCCTGAAAGTCGAGATTGCTATCACATCGTGCGTACTTGAGGCATATCCTTCAGTTGCTCTGAGTGAGGATGACGAGTATAACGAACAAGCTAGTCCCTTGGTCTTAAATCTTTTACAAACTCTCGATCCAGTCTACCACGCCCGGGCATTCCATTCACTAGTGATTCAGGCGCTCTGAGCTACGAGAACTTGATGGCACGTTGATGGGGCAAGTTTGTAAAGGCAGGCGCATAGTAAGCATAGCATCATGCCACATGAATGAAAACGAGAAGTGTGATTCCGTTTACCTCCATGTCTGTTTATTTACCTCCCCTTCGAAGATTCTCAGGGTTTTCCTCCCTTTTCAGGCATTTCACATCAAGGAAGGTCTGACTTATTGAACCCTCGTGTCATTGATCCGAAGTCTTAACAGGTTACTGTGAGGTACGTCTTTGACTTAGACGAGGTACCCCATGCCAAGTATAGCTTCTGCTCACATTGGTTATAATCCGATTTTCTCGGCGTCTTTTTGGTATGGAGACGCTGTCTGGACTAGTCCCTTTGCCAACCTTCTCTTTGATGCACTTCAGATAGGTCCAGCTTTCACTTCCCTTCATCGACCAGCTCCTAAGAGGATCGCTCATCTTCACTCTTTTCACGACATCGGCACTTATTTACTATGCTACTACGGTCTTCGACCTTCGTTTGCATTTAGCTGTAGCAAGGGAATTGCCGGTGAAGAGCGGAGAGTACTGTTTTGTTCATGTAGCGGTGTCCACTATAACCGATTTGCATGACTACGCTGCAAGTTCATCACATCGCAGATGATTGTCGTTCGCTGAATTCGGTAGAAGGGGGCTCTGCAGCGAAATTGAGCCCGTTGGCTCGCTGGCCACACATGCTGAGGACCACAGGCCTACGGGTGCTCTCAAAACGCCTGCCCATTATTTCGATCGGCGGCCTTAACAGTATAATCAACCATGGACGAAACGACATCGCGAACGATCTTAGGAGTGAGCGGCCACTTTATTCTGCAAGTGAAGCGGGGCAACTGACTGACTCTTTTTGAGTGCGGATTATAACCGTTCGTTGGATACGAGATTGGAGGCAAAATCGGAAACCCGAAGGAAAGGGTTGGCTACCTCAATAGGAAATAATTTGTCTACATGGTCCCATGTGTCAGCTGTGATACTGCCTATTATGGCCAGACTAGAACATCTGTCTCAACTCGTTTAAAAGGGCATCACTTAGAGGTGTTACGAGGTAATCTATCACAGGTAGCCATGCAAACACTGAACACGGCATGGATTTGCGTAGAACACTCACATCGCAGGCGCTCGCCCAGTCAGAGAAGCCGTGAATTCCTGGAAGTAATGCACTCCGATGTAGCATGCAACAATCCGCATACAAGCCTAAATTTCTCGAGGATGGGTGGAAGCGAGCGCACTCAGTGCCGAGGGGACGCCGAAGTACAAATAACGCGCATTGGCGCAGGTTTCAGTCAACCGTAGAATCACTTGTAAGAGAAGGTTATGTAGTGAACGTCTGACGACCAGCTGTGGAATCAGTCTTGAAAATGCACGCAATAAAGTTATTTTGTTCCTGAAGCGTCTCATTTGATATGTTTCTGCAACTCAGTTTATATGGCCTACGACGCACCGATAACCACCGTGAGGCAGCCGTCTGCGTCGGGCTTGTTGCACTTTTAGTGAGATGCTTACGTAATACATACATATATGTTTATATGTACTGAACTCACTTCTCCCGTTGGGCTTTAGGGCTCTCACTCGATTCCAACCAGCAGCCGCACAGCAGCGCATGATATAGGCAGAATGGCATTATCGACAAAGACAAGGGAGACTGGAATAGCTATTTTTGGCTTATTTGCCGTCGTCAACCAGTCGGTAATACCATTCTGCATATATCATGTGCCGCTGTGCGGCTTCTGGTTGGGTTCGAGTGAGGGCCCATAAGACATAATGGGACGATGGAGTTCCATAGAAAACGATCGGTGAGCGCACCCTCTACCTTTATGTACACACATAATGGATCGGCGTGCGCCCATTTCTGAATAAATACCCGATATGCAGCGACAGAGAATGAGAGGTGGCGAGGCACTGATTAATTTCGGTTTAATGAAGTGGTTATGACCCATCTGGTAGACCCCAGTGGTGGACCAGCTGCGCCAGGTGTGTGAGCGCATGTTTGTGTTTCCGGTCCTGGCTGGTGACAAGGGTTACTATTGGCTGGATGAGGGCAAACAAGCCCAAAAACAGTGCTGTATCAATCTACTCCCAGACTCTGTCGTCTACCCTCAGATATGCCCGATCAAAACCGAAAGGACAACGAGCCCATGGCTCAATGACAGTGTCAAACCAAATGACCAAAGATCTTGGATTCGAATCTCAAGTGATCCACACTTGGGGTTGGTTATGACTGGATGGTGACGGCTAATGAGCCAGAAATGGTTATTCCGGTACCGCTTGTCTTTGTCGATACAATCTCATTTACTTCTCCTACTAGTCGCTGTGCGACTGCCTGCGAGGGTTCTAGTATGGGTACGTCCTGTAACCTGATCGGTGACCGCCCATCTGCCGTTACATATACATTAATATAGTAGAGGGGCGCTCACCCGTCGTTCTTACGGAACTCACTCTCCTCGCTATGCCTTACGGGTTCTCTCTCGAACCCAACCAGCAGCCGCACAGCAGCGCATGATATAGGCAGAATGTTATATATATATTGGCAGAACTCACCTTAAATACGCTAACGCCCTAACTACTCGCTGGCGGAAAGGTAGCAGGTTAAGCCGGAAGCTCAGGTGAAAGAAGGGAAAAAGGAGGCAATGAAGGTGGTATGACAGCAGGAGGACAGCGACTCACCAAGGTGTGGCCGATACCGCCTAACGAATTCCAGACCAAGGGTCTCTGCAAGACATCGAGAACAATAAATAATCATGAAAAGCAGGCATTTCAAGGAAAATGGCCGCTCCCCCTTCGATACGCGCGAAAACGAATAGTAAACAGTGTATTTGGATGACAAACCTCTTTTCTTCCGTTCCTTTTTTCGGCAGTTCTGAGTAACTGTTGCCGGCACTCTTGTCGGGTTCGGGAGCTGTCATCACCGAAGGCGGAAGGGCAATGTTGTCATCGTCACCGCGACCATACGTTCCGCTGTGATCCCCGGTGTTGTTAGTGTTTTCCTCCTGTGGAGGAGGCGATCTGGATTCTTCTCTCCATCCGTGGCCACGTCGTTCTCGGGCAATGTGGCCTTCATCTCAGAGGATGGGGATGCGGTGGTGTCGTGTTACGACTCCCTCTATAATAAAGATGCATACGAGTCTGCCTACTAATATTTGATAGTAGCCACTTTATGTGTACTAAAGACAACCAGCCGGGAAGATAGTGTTTCAGGTCAACAGGGATGTAAGGGATGACTAAGGACAAGATGCGCTTGTGCCACATGTCAAAATCGCTTGTGATTTGATCGATGTTATTTCTGAAAGTTTCGCTGAGAGCAGCCTGTGTCGTCGAAAGAATATGGAACGCCAAGGCCAGAAGGAACGCAGGGGTCTGGATGCTTGACGAGACTGGACTTATGCACCCAACCTCAATCCAACAGTTCGCTCCACAAATGGGTAAGTTGCCTATAAAGGAATGCGAACTAATCAGCTTTACAACCAATCCAGATGGCCTATTCAATAAATCCAGCCTGTTCCGCATGGAAAGCAAAAACCAACGAGTTAAACCACTCAATCTGCCTGCCTTCTGTTTTCGAGATTCTTACCGTAAGAGGTAGTGTGGAAGGTGTCTTGGTAGATACTCACACAACGAGAAACCTTGACGTGGATCATATCGGACCAGACACCAGATCTGCCAGCAACAAACAGTACCACCACAAGCGTGCCATAACACAAGTACGCATACAAACACTTCAGTTGGTAGAACCATCTTCACCATTTGTGCAGCAAACAACTCATGTTCAACAGCTTGCCAAAAAGTGAAGCAGAAGAAAAATGAAAAACGTTCGACCTATCTTTTTTATTGTTCAACTTCAAAAAGGTAACAAAACAAACTACGGAAGCAAACCTAGAAGTCATTGGAATCACAGACAGGAGGAAGACCGTACTGACGGCAAAAGTGTGCATCGTGGGCGAGAAAGACTCATGAAGGGGACGCAATTTGCTGACACCAACGTACGGTTCGTCTACTTTCTCCGGAGGTTGGGGGACGACCGGACAGAAGTCACAAGCTTGCATTTCCCACTGCTCAAAAAACACGGTGAAAGAAAGGCCTTAACGACTAAACCAACAAGGCGCTAGAGCTCAAATAGCATGCGGACGGTCTAAAAGAAGACGTCCAAGACTCGACGACGAAGGAAGACCGTTGCCAGAGGGGAGGCGATCACATAGGCAGTCAGGAGGCAGAACTGACAGGCGTTGCTCAACCAGACTGGGCGCATATCTCCCAACTCCAGGGTGTCGATCATGAGGTTCAGCGAACCCGTCATGATGTTTGAGACAAGGAAGTAGAGCATGGAGTTTCCAGAGACTACGGTTATTAGCGGCATCAGGTCTAAAATGCAGAAATAGGAGGTGAGGTGTGGCAATAGGACACCAACCGTGCAGCACTTAACTGAGGTAACCGAAAAAGAGGGCTCAGGCATTACGCTTTCTGGAACTACGGCATTCGCTTATTGATTTATTCATTTATTACAGTCCTCCACCGTCTAACTAGCTGCACTGCCACGCATGACTCAAACCAATGCCAAACAAGCCTGTGACGCATTTAGCCCGTTAAGGGACGCAGCACTTAACTGAAGTAACCGAAAAGAGGGCCCAAGCATTACGCCTTCAGTGGCTAGGGCCTTCACCTATCGAGTTATTCGTTGATAACCTACTCGCTTCCCGGACCAGTCGCGCACGACAAGCCTATGACGCATTTAAGTCCTTAAGAGACGCAGTGAATTTGATATGTAGGCGCTAGATGCCACCTTTACGCCATGTTATTGACCGTGCCCGATCTCGGCTCCCGGCGATTTGGCTCAAACTTGCGACTGATGTAAGACGAGTGGGTAGATGATCCGGCAAAGAGTCAGTGCACACATCGCTTACTACAAAAGTTGACTCGCACTCAAACTCTCAGGCGACGTTGAAATTCGCGGCTAGGTTGGCTCCTCTTGGGGTTGAGGATCGAGACATAATGGCTCCTTTTAAATGCAGTCTTTGTACGGATCACCGTGGGACACCTGCGTGGCACGGGCCAAGAGGGGCACAATTTTGACCGTTTATGCGCTCCCAACCCATATCCCCTCACTTTTGTTTTTTCATTTGGAAAATGGCAACTGTAGGAACTTGTAGTGAAGTGCTGCGGAAATCACCCTCATTTTAAATCACTTCATGACCAAGTCGTCACTGCGTTTCTCGGAACAGTTGCAGTCCTCGTCGCCTGCCATATCCAGTGGTGGTACAACAGTGTTCCTATCTACATGCAACCTTCGGTTTCAGGCTTCATCTTCCTGTCAGTTTAAGTAGGAGCGGCCCCACACCCAAGTCCCGCTGTGGGTCCGCAATGTAGAATTTACAGCTAGAGTTCAGCAGAGTTTATTCTGTTGAAAATGGAAGCGCCGAACATTAAGAAGGTTAGGCGGACACATAGACTACCGGTGGACCGAAACCCCGCTCTTTCGATAACCGTCTTTCGAGTGTTGACAAAACTTTTTACTACTTCGGATCATGATCGGCTGGTAGAAGGCTGGCTCCGCTAAAAGACTGCAGACTTTTTACGCGATTGGAAGCTAATGGTGGCAACTTTCAACGGCCTACGACTGAGAAAGTAGTAGCCAGAGAGGCGTTAATGGCTTAAATGGTACAGCAAGAATGAAGGAGGCGCGTTGGAGGCTTGGTAGACGGGTCAAGTAAGGGAGCAGCACAGAGATATGAAACAAAAGCAAAAATCATAGTAGAATGAATGCTATCTGGGTTAGAGGAAATGTTGGGTTCATTACTTCGGAAACCCTACATGTGGAAAACCATGCAAGGTCTAGGGCACGAGAAAAGTACCCTCTGAATTAAACTTTCGTGAGGTGTCTACTTATTTGATTTAAGTAGCTGGTAAGAGTAGTTTATCGACAGATAGGACTACCCACCCACCCGGACGAGAACGTTACATATGCATGGACCGGAAAGATGGAATAAGCCTGTTAAGCCGGCGACAGACCAACCATCACACTTACGAGTGGCGGATGGTGGGGCTTACTTGATGTTTGGGCTCGCGACTAAGCGGGCGGGCGAGAATTGGGACCGGGTGATTGGCTGCTCTATAAAGCCCGGGGGCGGTACTGCAACGTGCAGAGCACAAACCGTCGTTAAATGGTGCCGTCGTACCTTCGATTTCGGGCAGGCTGCATCAATATCCATAAAACAAGTCAAGGAGCGGGAGGGACCGACTTGCACTAACTCGTCTGCGTCTCCATCTTATGAGAGTTCCTCAACCGCCAATGAGAACCACAGCGGCAACTAGCGGGTCTGGACTTCTAACAATGGGCCGGGTGATAGGTGTGTAAGATGACCTTTCCAAATAGAAGAAAGGATTGTGCTACAAAGTGAGAACTGATGACGCGTAGCCTTACCAGACGAGCGTTTGTAGGTGCCTGTCGCTCCGAGGCGCACTTGCCACAGTATAGGTCACACAGTGTTAAGTTGCTGGACGCCAAAGAATGCTGACACTCGTACTACGAAGGTGTCACCAATAAGTCTTCTCGAGGACTGGCCTTGTGCATATTCGCGCGGTTGCGGTCTACGACCAAACGATGGATTTGGACGATAGGTACTTGTACTCGGTACGGCTGCGATCATGACTGAAATAGCCAGCCTCGATGATGTTCCGAATTGAACTTCTCCAAGCGTGACGATCCGCGGCAGCAGCAGCAGCAGATCTGAATAGTTCAACGCATTCCCTTCGCCAACGACGGAGACCGAATACCGAAGGTCCAAGAGCCACCTGCATGCCCTAAAGAACTGTGCCGAGCCAGGTTTTGAGTTGACCCACTCCACTTCAACGCCTCCAATGGGGTAACGGTGCCGGATCGAGCGCAGTAACACTGAGCCCCTGATGTAGACGACGAAAAACATACCCAAATCACCTCAGTCGCCTTTCTAGGGTAACCTGGATTATCCATGCGATGTCGTCGCGGCGAGCGCGGACTGTCTCATTTGAGACGAAATCGGTGTATTCCACTCGAAGGATGGTCCTCAAGCAGTGGTGATCAAATACCTCAGTTTTTGCTCGTCCTCAACGCGCACAGCCCAGCACTCACAACCATAAAGGACAGACGCGCGGTACACGCGAATCTTAGTGGCGATGGAGAGGTCGCGTGGGATCCACCGGCATTTTCTAAGGCTTGAGAAAACCCGTCGGGCAGTATCAATGCGGGAGACAATGCCATCCTTACTCTGGCCATTCGGCAGCAGCCTCGCCCCGAGGTATTTAAAACTGTCTGCTTCAACTTGTCAGCCATCAATCCCAGGGGGGGCCTCCTCCTGGTCAGGAATGAAAACACTTCAGTCTTCCCAGCGTTAATGGATAAACCGACGATTTAGCGACCCCGTTCACCCGTGACACCACTGACTGCAGATCATCAAAACTTGAAGCAAGTAAGGCGATATCATCGGCATGGTCGAGATCAGGCAGTCGGTGTCCGGATGCAAATCCAACACCGTCACTTTCGTGTAGGGCCCTCCCGAGATTCCAGTCAATGGCGTAGTCGAACAGAATGGACGAGAGGAAACAACCCTGTCGAACGCAAGACCGAATACTAAACGGTTGGAAAAGACTGTTGCGGACTGGGACTCGCGCGGTGGTGGAGCGATTTGCAGGAGGCCATCATATGCAACCGGGGAGGGGGGGGGGGAGTACTTGACAGACTGCTGCATTAACGGTGAAGGACAGACAATTTTGCTGCGATGAAGCATTAGATGTTACAGGAGTTTGATTCCGACTCCTTGGGAGATATCTAGTCAACTGGTAGTTCAATGATAGGCAAATCGACTACACGTTTTCAAGAGCACGTTTGGTTAGCCCAGTGCTACACCGTCCCGCGATGTATCCCGCTAATACGAAAATGATCCTGACTACGCCGCTGAAAACTTATTGTCGAAAAGGCACGACCTGTAAACAAACGTAACGTTGACCGTATCATGGAACTTGCTACTGTCTCCAAACCCCTTCATTGCATTGACGCAGACAAAAGTCAACGAGGCCCCTTTCGCAGCAGTTAATCAGTTTCAACTGATCAACGCTCTCGAGTCAATCCTAGGGGCTGCTAGGTCACAACAGAGGTCACCGAAAGGACTGGATGGCCGCCGAGACGATCTGATTGGCTGCTTGAAAGCGGGATGGTCCGAACTATGGGGAGCAGAGTAGTTTAAACAAGCACCCGGCACGGTACGACCGCAACCAACTTTGGAATACAAAACTGTGCGAGATCACTAAATCGCCTAGGCCAGGGAAGATACAAGGAGGCTGGGCTGGATTCGAAAGGTCAACCAGTCTTAGGTTCTATCCGGCACAACCAAGGGATGATGGTATGCATCAGTGTTGGCATTAGTAAAAATTAGCAATCCCAGCGCATCTATTGAGGACTGTCATCCAGCAGAAATGCTGTTCAACCGTACCGGCAGACTAACTGAACGGCATCCTGCAGCGCATGCGGGAAGCAGAAAGCGTTCTCACAGACCGGTACGATGTTTTTGCAACAACATCCTTCCGGAGGAGCGACAGATGACTGTTTGAGAACGACTGTGGCGTATCTCTAAGTGTTCAGTTTAACTTATCCTCTTCCTGTTCCTTCTCAAGGGCTACCACTTATACTGCGATGTGTGAACAAAAGAGAATGAGTGGGGTTTTCAGCCGGGGAGAAGTGCGCAGACCAGCATTATCCTCTCTTTTGAACCCTCGAACACCGGAAATGCTGTCAATAGACCATCCCTTTCGCGGATTTTGCGTCTACCGGGTCCCGTTGAAGTTGATCCTTGTACGCGATGGCATCCAAGTGAACTTGCTTCATTTGATCCAAGTCCGCTACCACGGAATAAGCTTCTAAATCCGCTTGAATGGGTAGAAGTGTGACTTCTCCGATGTTACCTACGCCTTCACGTCAGGGTTTTGCGATCAAAGATACCAATCCGGTCACGACAGATGATGGAATTCTTGGCATAGCGGACAAATCCAGCTAAGGTGGGTGGAAGTTTCTGTTGAAAAGGCAGATTAACAGGTCGAGACGGTCATCGGACCAATGAGGCGAGCGCGCGGCCTTTGTCTGATTCCGTCGACACCTCTGGAGTCGGTGTGAGATCTGTCTGAAATTAAAGCCATGAGTATAAAAGGCCTCTGTCGGCACGGACTTTCTGAGTCAATGGCCCCTAAGGTCAGAAGATTCCACCCGCCTGCATGTGTTCCATGGCGATACTGTTTGCTTCCCATTCTCCGAATTTCTCGTCGTTAACGAACAGCCGCACACGAATCGAAATGGTCAACTACGCCTTCCTCATTTGCCGACGACATGCTTCGGTTGGAGTGCCCTCCGACACGACGGTGAAATCATCCACGATCTCATTTCGCATGAGCCCGACCGCGGATGATGATGATGACGACGTTGGGGTCGCCGATCAAAAACATGGGTGGGTGTGGTGAGCGCTCCTTTGGCCTTGCGGTCCTCAGTTTGCGTGGCCAACTGGCTCAACTTCGCTCGGGATTCCGCCCCCAACCTACTTAAATGGATGGCAAATATTTGTGATGTGTTGAACTGGCGGCAAGGACACAGCTGAATCATTTATAGTGAACGCCGTTGCATGGACAAAACAGTACTCACCGTTTTTCACTGACGATTTTCTTGCAGGATCTCGATACAAACAGAGAAGTGTGAATGCCGCAATAGCGTAGGAGATGAACGCCTAAGCCGTGTAAAGAGAAAAGAAGTGAGGAGAGCGATTGGTTTGAGAGCTGACAAATAAAAGAAAGTGAAGGGGGGCCCACCTGAAGACAAATAAATGGCAAATTGACGAAACGACGAGATGTGGCAGCCTCTCCATACCAATAAGTGACCGAAAGAAATCCAATGGCCATTAACGCGAGCAGAAGAGATACTCGGCGGGGCAGACCTCGCCTAAAGCAAAGGTAATATTCACAGGAACTTAATATGGACTCGGACCAATGGCACAAGGGCGAAAACTGTCGAATCGTTCATGGGCCAAAAAGTTGTGAAACGCCCGAAAAGTGAAGAAACTACTGGGAGAGCTGGAAAGGGGAGAAAATCGAACGGAATCACAGCTATCGCTTCCAGTCATATAACACGGTCCTATGCCTAAAAGAAGCGGAACTCTCCTGTTCTTGAGGAAAACAGCAAGAACAGTTTCTTTTTGTCGCTGCCACGTAGCCCCTTCAGAGCGCCGGGACTAAGTCAACAGTCGCGTTCATTAGTGACAAAGACAAGGGAGACTGGAATAGCCATTTCTGGCTTATTAGCCGTCGTCAATCAGCCATTCCCAGTCCCGAGGTGTAAAACCCCTAGAGTTCGATCCCGCGAACTGTTGGTTAATAGTCCGAAGCCTCTAACAACTGAGTCACAGGCTCGTTGTCCTGTCGGTTGTGATGGGGTATATACAATGGTAGTGGGGCGCTCACCGACTGCTCTACGGAACTCGCTCGCCCCACTATACTTTGGAGCTCTCTTTCGAGTCCAACCAGCAGCCGCACTGTGGCGCATGTTATAGGCAGAATGACATTACTGACAAAGACAAGGGACAGCGTTCTCCGTCAACAGAGAACACATGGAATATAGTTGCATAAAATGACTGCGCGTTGTGGACCAAATGAAAACCAAATGAAAATTCAGAGTCATGAACGAACCACTTTTCCTCCTCCTGCACGCACAAAAGCTTGTATTTTACCGAGCTGACACCGTCCGTCAAATGAACATCAACCACGAAGCTCAACAGCATGCCCCAGAGGAAAAGGGCAAAGTAACCAGGTAAGGAAACAAGACCTTCGGCGTTGGCAAGCAGCAGTGATGACCGGCGTGCCTCTTCCTTGAGTAGGCTGCTGTCTGGAGCGAGACTTTGCTCCAGTCCAAGTGAGGATAGCATTGTCTGATGACCTATAGTACAGGCCATAGAGAGCAGAAAGAGGGCATTCATTGCGGCGAAGTTGGAGAGGCGCGACAACTGGCTGCCTACGAGAAATCCGGCAAGCTGTAGAAAGAAAAGATGGGTAGAGCAGTCTGAGTAGTAAGCAAAGGAAGAATTAAAAGTTTCGGACGATAAGTAAGAACAACCTCTCTCACTCTCCAGGGCCTGCCTATGTGCATTCTTGGCTGCGGTTGACAAACATAGGACCTAATTGTACGAGGTTTCCTCAAATGGCCGGACAATTGGTGACTAATAGTCAGCAAATCATTCGATATAGAAGGCCAACTTGAAGGAGAATACCGAATGCCAAGCAGTGCACTGGAAGTTTTAAGAGTATGTTTTCCATCTAGTTTCCTTGAATAAAGAACATAATGATTGTTCACAGAATATCTGCAGGTTTACTTAAGTTAAAAGAAACACTTTGAACGACATATGCGACGTAAACACAGGCGTAGCCCTGCAAATAACCTATGAGCACAACAAGGTTACATTTTCGCAGGCCACAGAAAAGTAGTCTGCTGAACATGCAACTACTGAACAAGCATCACCAAAGAATGCGTGGAGAAATACAAATTGCTGTTAGGCAATGCATTATCGAAAGGACAGCCATGTATCCTAATACTGTGAAAATGAAACCTGTTGCACCAGTAACTCGGGCACTCGTCCGCTATATTGTAGTTCAAGCTGTCAAACATGTCAGTTAAATGACAGACCACACTTACACGCAGAACAGCCAGGGTGACGAAGAAGTTCCAGTGCACGCCGTACTCAGTTACATGTTCCGGAAAACCTAGCATTTTGATTACTAGGGTGCGCGAGGCGCCTAAAAGGACCAGAAGGAAGGTGGATCTGAGTACAGGTGAAATGGAGGAGTGTGGTCGCGCGGAACGGAGGAAGTACACGAATTGCACATTGGAGAGACCACAGTAGAGTGAGATCAGACCCACGCCTACGTCCATCAATGAGACACCATACGCCTCTGTTTTAGCAAAACGACGTGGAAACAAGGGGAAGTCCACAGCATAGATGCATACGCAGGTAAAGAGCAGTATATAGGCTCGGAGGACTCGGCGCCAAACGTAGAGAGGCTCGGGAAGAGGTGGTGGAAGCTGTCGATTTCGAGTGTAGCAGTAGAGGAGGATAGCTGTTGTGCAGGCGATCACAGTTATCTCGATGATGTATTCAGAGAGCAGAGTGACAGGCAGGACGAAGACCGCAATAACCAGCAGAAAGTCCCACACGAGAGGCCTACAGAGAGGGGTGTTTGGAACCGCTTAATGAGACCTTGACGCATTATCGTTGTACGTACAGGAAATTAAGAGCCCTGGTGGAAAATTAAATTCCAGGAACAGCCTTGCAAAAGAACTCACGACAGTTTGGAAGTCACTCTTGGATGGAGTTGGCCGATGAGGACGCGTGAGAATCCGAGAGCCAGCGGAAGCACCAGAAGACAAATTAATTCAAAAATGGTGCCTCCAGTTAGATTGCTAACAAATTCTAAGTGACGCGCAGTCCTTTTAGCATCCATCGCGAAGCAATTTGGTGAAGAAGGTCAGTAGCTGCAAAGATGCAATTTAGGCCGAAATTAGAACTGAAAACGCATAATGTGCAAAGGGCATCATAAATACGGAACGAAAACCCAATGCAGCCCAAGGTAATTAAGTTAAGTGCTATTACACCCCTTAACTATAGTTATTTGCGAAAAAACTAAATACAGGACTCCGAGTACCGGCAACTGTCCCATGTTTTGCAGAAAATTCGCGAAGTACTCGTGGAGACTTTGCCATAAGTTGTTTCTATGTCGCAAGGAAAACGTCCTGCGCTCTGAAAATACAGCTAAGGAAAATCGAATGAAATAATGAAACCAAGTGTTATGAAGCCACCCGGTGGAGGTTTTATGGCCCGGCACAATATACTGCGGTGCAGGCTGAGGGCCTTTAAAGGCAGCAATTTGGAAAAGGTTCGAATTAACCACACTTGCCCAAGAAAACTAGAGCAAAAAAGTCTGTGACTAAAAATCGCGAATTACCGATCGCCTACCCGGATCGCCAGCATTCATTTCATGCCGCAACATCCGCATGACGCAAACTCACCTAGTTAAGATATCATTCAACGGTATAAGGATGGCATCGACAATGATGCCAGATGTTTTACCAGACTCCATGACTTAACCTCATGGCTAACCAGAAAGGATTCGACTAATCAATGACCTGAGTGGTGGAGGCAGCTTTCTCCTTTAGTGGCTGAAAGGTTATGAGAACGCAAAGTTGAACTGGCTGTAACCCACTGGTATCTCTGACAGAAAGGTTAGATGAAAGACGATAAATATGAAAGAAATGTTGTGGAAAAGAAGACAAAATATTAGTAACTTTCCAGTTTTTACGTGAAACATACGACAGCATGTACACAAGCGCAGAATTCTGTACTTGATGGTTAACTATCAGAGAAAATAAGATCAATTAGTCGCATGTTTGCATAATATCAAGCATGAGCACTGCATCAGTAATTAACTGCACATGGAAGAAGATTCTGCTGCCCCAGGGGTCGTCGGTTTTTCGGCTAAACTAGGGGCTTATTGCGTGTCTGCGACGCGGAGTCAAGAGGGATAGTCATTTCCTGCTTAAGCACAGTAAGCATGGTCGAACTCAGCTATTCAAAAAGGCAAGTTGGAATGTTAGCTTGAATCAATAATAACGTCTTTGAACGGATAAACTAACTCTGATTTGAGAAACACTTAACTATGAAAAACAGGTAGTCAACGCATTCCTTCGCAAACATAAAAGTGGAGGAAAATCCTGAGAACCAAATGCGAAGTACACATATGTCGCCTGTTTTAAAATGTGAATGACTAACACAACTGAGAATGCATAATGTCTTCCTACGCAAAGCAGTTTACAGTCCCAAGGCACAGTGAGATCGTATGACGCGCAAATGATTGAGCACACAAAAACGATAAGGAGTTGATTCAAAAAGTTAGCTGTGAAATCAATGAAGTTAATGGCAAAAATTTAGACGTTCGAATAGCCTACTGTTTTTCGGTCAGAATACGGATGGTTATGAAACACATGTTAGGCGCTAAAGTACTCGATATACATCAAAATTTAGAACGAACAGGGTGACGACAGCAAGCAGACGGAAATCACGCAGTACTAAAAGACACTGCGACGATACTACCAGCACGTTACTGGGAATTCAAAGGTTAAAATGAATATGTGGCGAACGAAATGCTAGTCTAGGTCTCCAGTAACATCTGCAAGGTGTGGCACACTTTTCGGGTTTTTAAGGAGCTGAGAGTAAATGAGGTCATTCTGCGTGCGTCGGAGAGAATTTTGGCATTATAAACCAAAATATAAAAACACAATGGACTCCTGGTCCGCGCCAGAGCTACTGGTCTAAACGATGGGATAAACATTAATGATAACGGAAGTGACCTTAATCCTGGATATTGTGCCATGAAATCGCCTCCCGCCAAGCAGGCAAAGAACTTAATAAGTTTGATGGCTGTTAATTACGAAAGTGAGACCTGTGTAACATGCTTTAGATCCGTCCAGAAACTTACGGAGATGGAGAAGCATACATAGGGTCTCAAAATGATGGTGGAGAAGCTGAGAATGCGTCCTCTCTTTTAATCTAAATAGGGCAGACCGGTGAAAACAAAAGTTCACAATGAAAAGAAAACGCACGCAGGCACGGTTTCCTCTGATACAACAACTAATGAGAAAGACGACGATACGCCTGCATGTTTCGCCAGCATCGCTTACTGGTGTCTTATACTAAAAGAGGACGACGGTGGGGGGTCTCAGGAAATGAAGAGACGTCTCTGAGCATCCATAAAAGATAGAGCAGGCCAGGAAGTTAGAATAAAGGAGTCGAGTTTAAACGTACAGAAAGCAACAACTGTGTTGCCGAATGTCGCAGGCAATCAAAAAGCTTGTGAAAACGCAGAACCATGCGTTAATTCTGTCATTCCATTCCTGAATAAATCGGAGGGTCATGAGAGCCAGAGTAGCCATGATGTTGTGCCTGAAAAATTGAAAAAAAACTACAGGGCTCTTGAGTGGATAACATTAAATGCATAGTCATCAAAGATATGTCAGAATCTACTTCTGACACGTAAAACGAAAGAATACACAATGTTGCGAGACTAGTCTGCCAGTGGTCGTACATCCGTCTAAAGTGGAATGAGATAGTTACCGTTCAAAAAGCCTACCACGCCCACCGAATAAGAGACTCAGTTGATGAGTCAGACCAGCCAAGACCGTTTACGCTGGTTTTTCAGAATGAGGAAGAAACCCAACTACTGCTGAGCAGAAAACCCCTAATCTGGAACGCCCTTCCGAAGGTTTTTCAGTAGGACCTTTCGTCTGCAGAGCGGAAATAAGGGTGGAGCTCAGAACAGAACTCCTCATGAGATCTATTCATCTTTTCTAGCTCCTTTTCCAGACAACTGTGGCAAGCCTCATGAAAAAACACGAACCACCTGTGAGACCACCCCTTAGGTCAAGGTCAAGCCGCTGGTTTTAAATTTGAAGATGAGTGGAGGATATTATTTTAAGTGGTTTTTCTGTGAGACCTAACGATTTTAGTACCTGTTTTTGGTTGAATTTCCTTAAATACAGGCCTCTTCTATCAGAACTGCCTGCTGCCATCTCCTTTTGAGTTCTGCTAGTCTATGCCCGTTGTTCACTAATCGCACTCTGCAATTCTCATTTTGTGCATCCGATTTCTCTCTAACTGTTGTAATTTATTTTTACATCGTTAGCCCCTAGCTGAAATTCAGTCAACTTGTCGGCCAGAAGTTTTCTTAATCACAAATTGCCTCGAGACAAGGTGAGACCAAAAGTCACTGGTCGACGTAAGCTCTCGGCTCTTGTAAGTAAGCATGGCCAAACTAAACGTAAGTCAGAAGCTTTACCTTAACCTAAGTCAGATGATATTACTAGTCAGTCGTCACCCGTTGTAATTGGTCGGCAGCTAAATCTGTCTGCACTTGACCACTGCAATGACTTTATGCTAAAGTTTGGCTCTTTGCTGACAATTCTTGGACATTTATTCGATGGGAACATCTCCGATATTCCTTCTGAAGAATGTAGGCGTCTCGACTCACTTGTTCACCTGATCGCCAGTGAATCTAGTGATAGACAGAGGCGTCCTTACAACTTCCTGCTAGAAAATGTTCCTCGATCTGCTCGGCCAATTGATGTTGCGACCAATTTCCTGTATTCCTGTGGTTTCAACTATAAAATAGCTGATGCAAAACGCTTGTCCTCCCGTAGTAGAAATCCACCTATCTTAGTCAAATTGTTTTCATCAATCGAGGTTGACACAATCTTTACTCATCGAGAGCGTGTCACTGCGTACCTAGAGAAGGCAAAATTTTTCCCTTGTCATGATCTTTCTCCTATGGAGCGTAGAATCGGGTCTATATTCTCACGTAAACCCACTGCTTCTCAGTCTAATGCTCCCCAACTCGGTCATAATACAAGTGGCCGTAAGGATTCAGCTTCTCCCACTCCTGCGACATCTGACTCCCTCCTTCCTCTTTCTCCTACATCTCCATCTCACTCAAGCCACCTGACGCATTTGCCTGCCCCTAAACTTGCACCAGCAGCAGCAGCAGCAGCAACCCCACTTGTTGTTTCGTATCCTCCGGATAGTCCCGTTGAGACACATGAAAATCCGTCTACATCAGCTAGACCGATAACTTCTATTGTCCAACTGGGTGCTGTAAGGTCTACAGCTAAGTCACCCGTGGCTTGGCGTCAGAACGGTGAGACTCGAAAATTGAATCAGACTCCGACCCAAAAGATAGGTAGTACAGTTCCGTTTAGGGGTACGACGCCTTCTCTTAGATCTAGCAAGTCTGTTCAGCCCAGCACGTCTACAAACCCCGCAGCTCCAATTATATCCTCGAATAATTCTCTGTCCTGCGTACCGGTTACTTATCAAAGCCCTACTATATATCCAGCAAATAATTCATACATGAATTGCCCTAAATCATTTATGCCCCAACCTAGTTCAGGTTTCGCACCACTTAAGGCCAATTGCTCTCAGGTACGTCAACCCATCTCCTTTGACTTCCAATCTAGACCTGGTTTCCCACCATTTCATTCATTTAGTCGCCTACCCTCACCCACTAGCCCCTACTCTCCTTCTAGCCTCCCTCCTCCTCCTCCTCCTCCTCCTCCTCCTCCCCTTCCTCCATTATTTAACTACCAACAAGTCTATCCATGTTCTAACTCCCCTAGCATTCCAATGTTTGAAAACTATATCCCCACCTCCTTTAGGTCTCATACTCAGCCTTCTCTTGCTGACTTCCCGTACGTCAATAACTCTAGATTAACTGGTACTTATTCTCCAATTGTCATTAATTCACAGCTTACATATCCGCCTCCACATTTTTTTAAAATACCGTCGAAAGTAGCATTGCCGTTCGAAACACATTAGATATTATATTATTGAATGTCATGTCCATTATAAACAACATGGCCCAAATCAGAGCCATTTCTCTGGAAATGACGCCTGATA